CCAGTACCACAAACAAACAAATGAAACAGAATGTTGGCCAGGTGAGGGAAATTACCCAAGCCAAAAAAAAAAAAAAAAAGTCAACCTCAGTTAAAATTTTGGAATAAATTCAGACAATATATAAACAGCATTGTGAACATGAAACTGACTTTGAAAATTATCTTGGAAACACACCTCGCATAACAAGTAAAAATTCTGAGGTCCACACAGGTGAATGATGGTCACTGCCACACGCAGATCTAAAACTCTAACCAGAAACAGCATTTGCTGAAGCTCATTTCTGCAAAAACAAACGTTTTGAAATCCTAATATATTGGCTGAAAGTATCTTTACCTCATAAAGCATGATATTTACATGATTGCTAGCGGTCCATTAAGAGCTAACATGATAAAAATAATGGCTAACATTTATACCTACCGTAGCTATGTGCTTAGTATTTTACCTATATTAACACTAACCCCCACAATAAAGACACTTACTATTATGGAGATTTTACAAATTTGGAAACTAAAATTGTAAGAATTCATGTACATACCTGCTTGGAGCCAAAATTCAAAGTCCTTTCAATATGGCCTCCCAGTCATTAGTCTTGTACCTGGAAACCATCTTTCAGTAGGGTAAAATATTCAAATTGCCAGAAGTTACAAGTGAGAATTAATATCCAAATTAAAATTATACCCACATGTAAGTCAAGTACTGATTTTCCAAAGTATTTGTTTGCCACTATCTATCGAGGCAGCAAAATTTTTCAATGTAATTAAGACATTTAACTACAACAGTACTGAAGTTCTGAGAATAAAAATAACCACGTAATCACAGTGGGGTTTGCTTCTCAGTCTCCTGGACCACAACACAATGATTTCCCAAATAAAAATCTTTATTGAGTGCAAATTGTTCACTGTGCCACTGGAGTGCAAGGACCGAGTGTCTCTGTCGGTCCTTGAATGGTGCAATGACTCTAAATGAATTGAATGCTATTCACAGAAAGATTCGTGTTCAAGCATGAAAGCCTCTCTGCATCTTGTATCCAGCCTGTTTATACCTGTGACCAACTACAGCTTCTCTCAGTAGAATAAAAATCAATTTTGAGTAATCATTGTTTGCATGTACAAAATGTAAAGTAACTAAAATGTTCTGGACTATGACAAAAGAGAGAGGATCTGGCAATGTTTTGAGCCCAAATCAATGTGCAAATAAAGAGGCGCGTAAGACAAGGGGGTAGTGCAGTGTTAGAGATGATCAATGTATGTTTCTCACATGTACAAATCTACCAAAAGAAACCCTATTAGTCCATACAATCAATAAAAAGAGTCAAAACTCATAGCGGCATACTTGTTTGATTTACATCTTTTCACCAAGGGTCAGATAGAATAAAATACCTGTTATTTCGAGTTTCCAGCTGTTTTCGTGCCTTGTACTCACTCTAAGATGACACAATATTGATCAGTCGTCAAAAATTGTATATTGTAAGGCATTTGGGTTGAGAGTGTTGTTTGAATATTGTTAATGTGTCTGTAGTAATTTTGCCTCTTTCCTCGCTTAGACTTTCTTATGAGCAATGACGCATGTTCAAGAGATGACTGCCTGAGTTGTGCCAACCTGTGTCGAGAGAGAGAAACTTTTCAAGTACAAGCGGACCAATGAATAACTTAGTCTGACATCAGGAAGATAAGCATCATATGCAGACTTACTCCCATTCCTGCTTCCTGTCTACATCCACATCCAAATCCATCCTCCCTCAAGTCCAAGGAGAATCTTTGTATTATGCCTTCACAGTTTCGTTCAGAGTTCATATTTGCTCAAGTCTCACCAGTTAGAAACTTTCCTTACCTTTTCCTCATGTCCAACTTTCCTTTTGCTTCTAGGAAAAGCATGTGGTTTGCATCTAATCACTGACTCTTCCTACTTTTTCATCTAGAGACTCTCCTGGTCTTTATTTTCCTTAATTTCCCAGGAGACCCTGACACAGTTGGATTCTTCCATCTGAAAGCTCTCGTCTCTATACTACTGCATCACCTTTTGCTCCTGTGTCTCTCCCTCCCTCTTTGCCCTCTTCTTGCTCTCCCTTACTAGCTCTGCCCCATAGGCCCCCAGAAGCTTGGTCCTCCAGAGTTTTACCCTCAGGCTGCTCCTCTTCCTCCACTCTCCCTGAGTGATTTCATCCATTTTTCATATTCTGACTGCCACCAATGCCAGTGCTTACCTTGCTGCAAATGCCTATATTTAAAAATCTCTGGAAACCTTCACCTAGATGACTGAGAAGTAGCCTCAAACTTAATACAAGCAAGGGCCAGGGATTTCGCTCAGTGGTTCCACTGCCTACCTTGCAAGTGCAAGGACCCAAGTTCGATCCCTGGTACCAAAAAAAGAGAATACAACCAAAACAAAATCCATTAACCAAGATATTCATCAATTCTCATAGCCAACCAGCTAAATGCTCATCCAAGCTCAAAACTTCATAACTCCCTTGAACCCTGCTTTCCTGCCAATTCCTACATTCAGCTGATTTTAGCTTAAGTACAAGGGATGATGGAAAATTATAATGAATGTTTACATTTGTGAAAGTTTATTACAGTAAAAGATATATTGCCTTTAATCTCCCTAAAACTACTTCGCCTCACTTCAAACACTCATCCCGTCCTTCTCGCCGCTGTCTGAAGCAGCTCTGGAAGTCCTTTCTTCTGAGTGTCTTTCTGAGGTGCGATGTCCAAAAAAGACAGTGAATGCTGCTCCTGAGTGCCACCCAGCAGACAGGCAGCTGTGTAAGAACATCATGGTGTGTCCTCGTTCACCTTATTCACCGGATCTGGCACCGCGCAACTTCCGGCTTTTCCCCAAACTGAAAATGAACACTAAAGGAAAAGTTTTGAGTTTATTCAGGTCATTGAAGCAGCCACATCACTGCAACTAAAGACACTCACAAAAGAAGCCCTCCAGAGCTGCTTCCGAGCGTGGCAAGACCAATGGGATCAACGTGTTTGAAGAAAAGGGAGTGTTTTGAAGGGGATTCATAGCAGTGTGTCTTCTACTGTAATAATTTTTTATTAAACAGACACATTTTTTCAGTCACATCCCCAGTACACAGTAAGCCTGAGATGTATAACTGACATGTATGTGTTGCTATCCATCTTGGGGTTAGGAACCCATTTCTTAAATCTGATGTGCAATGGTGTAGATCGTCAACATTGCCCTGTTTTCCTCTTCTCAGTGATCCGGGGAGAGCCGCTCCCGTCCATCCTGTGCACTGTTTGCAGGGTCATCTTTCCAAAACCCTAAATTACAAAACTGAACGATGACTCCTTTTCCTGAAAACCTCTGTGGAACCCCCGTGGAATGAAGTACAGAATATGGGCCCACGCCTGTCATGTCCAGTGCCTCTGCCCATCCTTCTCCCACACACACTTCTCGCTGCTCTGCACAACCCCAGCTCCTCTCTCACCCGGAGCTCCTATTTCACCTTCAAAGCATCCTGCACTATCTCTTTTTATAGTATGTATTACAGTGCACTATAGTGACTACTTTACATTTCTCCATGACACTGTGTTGTAACGATAAATGCCATGAGCTGTTTGCGGAGAGTTTTTCCTCCCACCATTGTCTCCATACCGTCTAGAACAGTACTCTGTAGGTGCTCAATGAATGTACAGGACTGGAAGAGCTTAGTGCTATATTCAGTCTAAATGAAATAACCCATCTGTCTAACGAGCTCATCTCCATTGCCTACCCGCTTGACGTGTGTCCCCGACACAAAAGCAGGTGATTTCTGATCTCAAGCACACGGTTTGTCTTCCTGAATTATAACAAAAGGGACAGCCCCTTATTTTTTCCACTCTCCCCAGAAGAATAAATTGTATTACCCATTATTCTATAAGACTGACATGCTTCTTCAACAGCATACTTTGCTGATCTGTTCCAATCTTTCTTTCTCTCCTGTTCTTCTTTTTGTGAGCTTGCCTGCCCCTTTTCAAAAGTGAAAACACTATGAAACATCTCATAATAATATGGTGTATATTATCACATTAGCTGAAGTTATAATAAAAGTAGCTACATAATTCAGACTATACTTTGCTGCATAGCCATAGAAATAATGGTACTTTGTCAAGAAATTTGTATAACCACATGGAAACTCACTAATGCAACAGGAAATGATAAAACATAATACAATTCAGAAGTTCTAAATTGCTAGTGTCTCAGTAAGTAAAGGGGGAAAAATCTGTTTTACTGTAATAAAATTTAAAAGAGATATGCTTGTTATTTTGTAAAAGTTCTCAGTAAACGGTCTTTTTGTCCTTTTACAATCATGTCTTGTTTTGTTTTTATTTACCTTTGTAAAAATTCTGTCTGAATATCAGAAGAAAGTAAAAGTGACCAATGGTCAGGATTATGAAATGTTAGAAATTGTCCAAGTTTCAGTTAGAGGGATTAATTTGTTTTTGCAGCACAGAGATATAACCCAGGTTCCTACACGTACTTGATAAGTAGTCTACCACTTAGCTACATCCCCAGCTCTCAAGTTTTTAAAATATGACCTCATCCAGATGTGGTGGCACAAGACTATAATCCTAATTATGCATGCAGGAGGCTGAGGCAGGAAGGTGGCAAATTCGAAGCCAGCACAGGAATCTTAGAGAGACCTTGTCTCAAAAATAAATAAAATAATAATAATATAGACTCATACTTTCAGACTGCCAAGAATTTCAAAAGACTTCTGTAAGTGAAATACATATAATTAAATATCAGCACCCCACTTATCATGGAAAGCAATGTTTCTCCCCCACCAAGTGCACACACTCATAATCAAGAAATTATATAACATGTCAAGTAGCCAGTACTCAAACTTCATCCAAAATTTTACCATAATTTCTCTCCAAAACAATGAACAAAAATGGGAGCCATAAGTAGCTATAATTTTTGCCTTTACTAAACAATTCTTTCATGACAGTCATAATGTTGAACTCAGAGAAAACACTAAATGGCTTTTCTGTTTCATAGTAAATCAAACTCTTGCTGGAATTCTTGGATGAAGAGTTTTATTTCCTTTCTCCAAAAGGTTTTCTGGTTCTCCAGGATTAAGAAATTAAGGAAAGTAGAATGAAGTGAAAGACCATGCAGTCCAATGACATATTTTCTTTCTTTTTTTCTTGTCTTTTTCTTTTTCCCTTTCTTTCTTTCTTTTTCTTTCTCTTTCTTTCTTTTTCTTTCTTTCTTCCTCCCTTCCTTTCTCTTCCTTCCTTCCTTTCTCCCTTCTTTTCTTTTACTTCCTTCCTTCTTTTCTCCTGTTTTGCATTTTTTAAAAAATCCCTTTTGGGGGCGGTTTTACATTTAAAGCAAAAGTGGCAAGGAAATACAGAGATTTCTCCTTTTCCCCCTGCCACCACTCACGCATAGCTTCCCCTATCATCCTTGTTTCTCATCTTAGTAGGACACTAGTCATAATTTATGAAATTACACTTAAAAAACACAATCATTGAAAGACCACAGTTTAAATTGGGGTTTACTCTTTCTAAAAGTATTTCAACAAGTGCAATTAATTTTACAACATGTTGAATTTCAGTGCCTACCCATCACCCCAGTACCCCCCAGCACCCCCTGTCCTCCACTCTTATTCCCTTCCTCTTGCAAAGACGTATTTCTTACCCCACCCTTTGCATATGGGTGTGCATAGAAAAATTAACATATATTATATATTAGTACACGAGTGCAATATTATATGCTGTACATCTTAGGAATGTGTTTTAACATATTAAGTATAATTGTCAGTAACATCTTGACATTCATTATAATAATTATTATAAATACATGAAGAATTTTAATTCATATTCTTCATAGAATAATATATTCATATATGTGAATATGTAGCTGTTATGTCTATAGTAGATAATATATGCAAAGTGATAAAAATACAGTGAACGGTAAATTTTTTAAATTATTAAAGCAAAAGACATATTATTATTAATCTCTCTCAAAATATGCCCCTTCACCTAAAACACACTTAGCCCATCATTTCTTCCACTTTCTGAAGCAGTCCTGGAAGCCCTCTGTCATGTGTGTCTTTAGTTGCCTTGTTGTGACTGGCTCGATATCCTGAAACAGTTCAAAATGTTTACCTCCCGTGGTCATTTTGATTTCAGGGAGGATCCAGAACAAGTCTTACGGTGCAGGTACAGCGAATAAAGTGCATGAGGACTTCCTGTAATGCTCTGACATCCCTACTTCTCCGTTGGATGGATCTTGGCAGAAGCACTCGTCATTGTTCTGATCACACTGCACAAAGACACTCAGGCAGCAGTGTCCAGAAAGTAGCAGAAATGATGGAATAAGTGTGCTCAAAGCAAGGGGAAGCATTTTCAGGAGGATTAATGGCGATGTGTCTTTTCATGTTATACATTTTTTTTAAATTTAAGTATAGGCTATGTATTGTGATCACCCCTTGTATGTATAATGCACACTGGTGGGCTATGGAGAACAAAAGTTTATTTGCATGACTTCTCTGGTGACCCACTCTGCTGAAGTTGGCCTTCTCCCTCTGAACTGAATATCCTGCCTACAGGAGCACAAGAATCAGCAACTGCAATCCATGAAAATGCACTCCCGTTGACCACTTGGATGTTCTGAGTATCTAGTAGCGTTGATCAATGTTACCTACCCCGTTTTTTGTTTTTTGGGCTTTTTTTGCCGGTCATAAATCTCCTCCCCGCCGTCTCAGTCTCAGGCCTGACTGTGCTTCGGAGCTGCACAACAAGATGGCCCAGCTCTCCTCTCCTACAGTGAAATACAGCACGAAATAAGGATGCTGTTTGGTAACAAGGAAACCCAATACAGTGGTTTATTATCTTCACGTTCATTCTCTTCCAATCATTTTTACTATGTTATTGTATACGGCAGGATAGAGACCAGTGGGGGTGTTTGGAGAATACAGGGAGAAACAGAAGTCAGTGTGGGATGGGGACAGGTGGCATTAACTCAAAATTACATATTTAGGGGAAAATCATCTTGGTTTATAGTTTGAGGATAAAGCTAAAGGGTAAACAAACCTAGCAGGGAGCATCTTTGTAGATGCAGAAACAAGATAGAAGGCCGGTTCTCTGCCCTTGAGAACAACCCCTTTATCCTAGTGGGTGGGAGGTAATCAAGATTTCATAGACATCTGCATTATCTCCCACCGTGTCCTGGCTGCTCAGGTTCTTCTCTTTGAATGCTAGTTATTCTTGCTTCAGTCATTTCTGGGCATGTTTGTCCAGATTTGAACTTCCTGCCTTTCTTTACCTATGGGTTGATGGTACTATCCCTCAGAACAGCATAATACACCAGGCCAGACATTAATAGACAGCCTAGTGTAGGGGAGGCAATGACAACTCAGGCAAGTTGCATAACACTTACATATCCTGATTTGATGAACAGTACAGGAACACACCACCTTCTTCCCCTTTCATACTCCTGGCTTTTCATATTTCAACCCTGAAATTTTAAATATTCTCTACTAAAATCAGTTAAGGTTAAAGCTGGACAAATCACAAAGACACCAACTTTTTCCGTTTTTTTCTCTGTATTAATACAGTGCAAAGTCTTTAGGTATAGAAGTCTCCATTGGAGAAGGCTTTGCCTGGTTAGCAAGAGCCCAGAGTCTCACAGTACAGTCTGTGCCCCAGCAGTGCTGCAGTTTGACCCCAGGCTCATGAATCTTCAGGGAACAGCAACCCACGCATGCTTTAAACACTTCAGTTTCCTCATCTGGGAAAGATGGGCTTATCATGAATATCACATAAAAAAATATGTATGATATCATTGGTATAGGGCCAGGCATATAGGTGGTAAATGATGATGATGATTATAAGACACTAAATAGAGCATTGCTAGAAATAATGATTGTTATTGGTAGTCAACAATTAAGAATAAGTATGTTACGATTAGATCTATTTTTGCTAAAACAGGTAGCAATCTTTATTATTTCTTGTAATCACTGTTATTTTAGCTACTATGAAGGATATATTTGGCATGATTGTTCTAATGAAACAAAATGACCAATAACTTCCAGATATACCTATGGATGCCAAACTGCAGAGTCATTTACCACTATAATCATTTTCCATCATTTCTCCTATGTCCATCCCATTATAAAAATCTTGTTGATGAACCTACGTGGACTCAAGTTTGTCCAGTCCCCCAAAATTTTTAATCACTTTGGTTTATATTAGGCACAGGTTTCTGGGGTGGAGGAAATACTAACTCTTTGTTTTTTGAAACTGAGAAGTTTATTTCTCTACTTCCAAAGAGAGATGGGCTCAAGAACAGCAGGAAGATCCTGCACAGAAGCTTAAATATGGATGTCCTTCACCTAGAAGAGAGAACGCTGGCCCAAGAGTGGGGACACAGAATATTCCAGACAACAGTCCTAGACTCACAGGCTCCTAGCAGGCTCTCAGCGGGACTGCACTTTGGGAGGCAACCATAGTAGGGAAGAAAAGGTGAGGAAATCTTTTCTAAGCAGGCTACAGCAGGTAAAAATATGAAACAAAACTGGGCAATGTTGCTGGAGATTAGACAGCTCAGCTGAATAGAGTCTTCCAGTTCAGACAGGCCCTGATGAACAGGTGGACAACAATGACCACTCATTATGCAGTGAAGCTGGCGATAAAAAGTGAACAAGGGGAGGGGCTCTTGGGCACTGCCCCCCAAATGGAGCATCATGACCTGTAGATCATCTGATTTACCTGAGAGTTGCTCTTCCTTACATGAGTGTGGAAGCAATTTTCTAGAGAACAATTTTAATCATGTGTCTTCCATCATTCCTAGATTCCTAACCAGTGATTAACACATTTTGGTTCTATTTAAAGATGGTGAGAATGATTACTAAATCATAATGCTGGGACATCCTGCCTGGCATCAATTGCTCTACTGACGTCAACCATTTTTTATTTTCTTACCTGAAAAAAAAAAATATTGGTAAGCATTTGTGCTAGTAGTTGAGAGTTCTCTTTTTCTTCGTCACTCTGACTATCAAAATGATATATTTAAAAAATCAAACTCATGTCAACAGTATCAGGTCACAGCCAACTCTGCACTTTGCAATAATCCTTCTGCTATCGCTTTAAGGATAACTATAGCTCTGTATGGAAGGGATTTCTGTGGTTCTGTAATTATTCTGTTTAGAGAAGGGAAAACAGAAGCCAAAATTATGAGAGAAGTCTTCGTGAAGACTGATGAAGAGTAGCTGGGGTTCATGTTACATAGCTTTCTCCCCTTCATCTCCTTGTCTCTTTTTGCATTGTGTGAAAATTTGAGGAAATATCCTGATTTCTTGGCAAAAGCGGATAGCAAAAGTACTTCCCTTGGCTTCCGTAAATTTGGAGAACGATACCCCCCTAAATCTAAAGCACGGTTTCTTGTTTTATGAGTCTCGTGAAACTAGCCCAAGTCTTGGCAATTTTATGAAATCTCCAAGTTTTCATCAGCTGTCTTGGATGGTGTTAGAGAACTGAGCCTCTAGACAGTGCCTGGAGCATGTGTATTCAGTGGTGGCTGGTAAGTCCAGGGTGAGTGGCCCCCTGTAAGAGAACCCAATCCTAGAATACCTCAGGTCTTTTAGATCATGTTGCAGTCAGTGCCACTGGGAGACTAGTGTCTTAGAGTTTCCTCATTACCAGTATTTGCTTGGCATTTTCAGAGTTCTGGTGGCTGCTTCTGAGTTGCTCAGTCCCAAGAAACATAGTATTTCTTCTCCATGACTTCCTTCATTGGCTACAGATATGTCCAAGTCTCCAGTGAAAATTTGGATGTCAAATATAGCTGTCCGTGGAGTCCTAAAAGGTGAAACGCTTCATACAACCAACAGATTCCCCACAGCAATCCTTTGCCCATAACTAAAAGAGCAACATGATCACTGCTTAGACAGAGATCACCAGAAGTCACCATCATTCCTTCATTTAACAAACATTTTGAGGCACTGTAAGAGTCATAAATATAAACGTGGCATACTTTGGTGTTTGGGAGAAAACTGTGTGTTTATGAATAACTAGCATGTATCATATTTGATGCACATTATTCCAATTCATACATACCATACATAGCATTTTGGGCTTGGAACTATCATCCCTGTTAGATTTTTTTTAAATACTGAGGCTCAAGGATTTTAACTAACTTGCTCAAACAAGAATCTACAGTTAGTAAATAGTACCAACATAACTGTTTGACTCCATGATATAATGCGGATGAAAAGTCAGTTTCTTAAATAAGCACAAATCAGGGAAATACTGGTAACTACAACAAGAAATGAAAGAACAACAAAACATTGAGGATTTTAGAAGAAAAAGACAAGAACCTGATCTGCAAAAACTAAGCCTCTTCACCCCTGCCAGTTGGCAAACAGTACAAGCATCATAAAAGTGCACTGGAATGTAATGCTGCCTTAACCTTAGTGAAAATGTTGGGAAGATGATTGTTCACATTTTTGTGCATGAACGCTGTCTCACATTGGTAATAAGGCTATTATTGCTTTTGACTTATATCTGCTTGCCCTATGAGAAAAATATGCAAGTTATAAGAACATATTATGATAAAATAACCTTTTATACCTTCAGTAGAAAATCTTAATTACATTGCATCTTTTGGTACTCAAATCTCAAATTAAAGTTCAAAGTAATGTAATAATGAAAATGCATTTTATATAGTACATCACAGTGTAGTGTACTATTTTTTTAGGGTTTTTAGTTTAGTTTAGTTTTGTTTTGTTTTTTAGTATTTTTATTCCCCTAATTCCTCTGAGATAAGTAAGAATTCACTTCCCTGTATTAGAGATGAGAATGATGCTGAGAAGTTATGCTGTCCAGGCTCAAGAAAAGTATCTCTCCAGGACTACAGAGTAAAGAAGTACAAAGCTGGAACTACACCCAAATTAATCTGGTTGTAAGATGTTCTTACTAGACATGATGTGGTCTCACAGTATGGGAAAATTTTACCAAAATGTCATTTTCAGATGGCAACTTTTGTAAACTGTTCCTCCATAAAGGTCCATCAATTCACAGATAGCTCAGTACTTCTTCCCTTAGTATGAAAGCCCTGAATTTGACAGAAGACTCTGTCTATACCCTGAAAGCACCTATTACAGTTTCTGTATACACTACATGAGATGACCACACCTAGGAAACAACACAGTGAATGGAAGAAACGGGTCCACATCTAGACACAGGAATGGGTTATCATTTCATGAATAGGTTTAGAAAGCCGATTCTTTCCCAAAACAACAATCATTCAAGCAAAGCTTTGTGCATTTGGGTAAAAGAAATTAATCAATATGTTTTCCAAACACCATCAGCATCTCCGCAGTTCCCAGAAGAAGCAAATAAGCAGAGAACTAGATAGGTAGATAAATAATAAAATAGATAGATAATCTCATAGTTTCACAAGATTTCCTTTATAGGACCGATTTTAAATTTCGTTTTCTTACTTATAGAACGCAAATACAATAAAAATAATGATTGCATCATGAATATTATACATGGAAAAGAAGTTATGAATATTTAACGCTACTTAAAATATAGACATTCTTCCATGTGAACACAGGGAATCCAGTCTCACTCCCGCCCTATGATGCTTTGCAAATACCTTTATGCTATCAAAGTCCTTTGTGTCTTCCTTCCTCCAGATGATGTGTAATGGGTCTATAAATGTGTTACCAAGCCATGGTGATCTCAGTTGTGCATGGTCCAGAAAGGCAGTGAAAATGGCCTGGTTTATGCAAAGCTGCAGAAAAGAAAGACAAAAATTAGAGGGTGGGGGGTTTCAAAAAGAGCTGACCTTTTCAGTCTCTCCTCCTTTAGATAAATGATTCTTCTTGTAAGGGCTATTAGAATGCTGCTCTCAGGTGTCTAATTCTGAGCTTTAGCAGATTCACAATGAGAGAGGACCTTATACAGTAACAATAAGTTATATGAACACTGTGTTCTATGCTTTCTATGTGTCAGCAACAGAGACATCTTTTTATCTACATACAGCCTCATGTGTATAAAATAACATATAACTCATACTATGAGGAACATAGTTTTCATGGAAAGTGGAATATAGACATAATTCCCCCTGCATACAGTTCATCATCAGTACTTTCTGTAAGGGTGACTGCTCATAAAACATTCAGCAACTGGGATATAGAAAATACAGTATGAATTTATTGAGCTATTCAAACCTCTCTAACATTTCACACCTTTTAATAATTCATGATCTGAATCATTCACTTAAAGAGTTTATGACATGTTATTTTCCTTACCATCTTGTTGTCATGAAATAATGGAAAATCAAAACCAAATTCATAAAAATAGGGCTTTTTGCTTTGATTCCTAGCAGATGCTTTATTTAAAATAGATTTTGTTGTTTTAAGAAAACAGAAGTAAATAATCAAGGAGAACCAAATATTGCATACAACTACCTAACTTCTACACTCAATTTACCCATCTATAAGATGATAAACAATGTTGTATTTCCTGGCAAATGAATACAAACCTAAGCTTTGTTTTCAATCTCTGCTTTGTAATATTCTGAGAAAACATTATATAACTATGAAGCAATTTTATTTCTGAACTTCATTATCTGAGCTGATAATAACTATAGAAAGTTATGTCAATAGCATTAAATGGACATTGGACTGAAACTGTACTTTGAATTTGTTGTTTCACCATTTATATTGCCAAGTGAGGATAAAATGAGCATGAAGAACAAATGGACAAGAAACACCATTATTAGATTTTGCTACCACAATTCCACCCATAGTAACACAGCACATTTCCCGATTCTGTCCAAATAAAAACCAGGTCAAATGTAGCATAGCAACTGAAAATAAAGTGATACTTCCAAAGATGCCCTAATAATCAAAATACAGTTCTGATATTTGCACACTGGCATCATTTTTAGCTACTTCATAGCCCCTCATTTCTGAAAGTAAAAATGTAAAGAAGCTCAACCGACACTGTTTCCATTTCTGTGCAATGCTGAGTGATTCCTACGGAAGGATACTTTACTCTTGACTCTGACCCACACTTCGTACAGAAAACCCCAGAGGTCTTCTGGCTGCTCCAAAGTACAGGCTGACAGAAGAAGAACATACCACACCTCACCACCTACTGGTGAACATGTCACTTCTTTGCCCCAGGACAGTACCTGTGCTTCCGAAAGCTGACCTACAAAATCTCATCAGAAGCTCAACCTAGTACACAGGGAATAAACTAATCCTTCATGTTAGCATAGTGTAATGCAACTTTTAATGCTCTACAAACTTCATTAACTTTCTTCAAAGCAAAGGAATATCTCATTCATCTCCAATTTTTATACCTGTGCAAATATTTTTTTAAATCAATTATTGGACTGGGGATTTAGCTTAGTGGCACCACACCTGCCTTGCAAGCTCAAGGTCCTGAGATCGATCCCCAGTACAAAAAGAAAAAAAAAGCAATTACTGTAATTTAGTTGATAACAATAGGTCCTTAGTAGATCTCTAATTTATCAATATTGTTACAGATCAGTATCACCTAATTTTTTAATTGACAGAAAAATTTGTATGCATTTTTCATGTGCAACGCAATGCTTAGGAGTATATATACATGGTAGAATGGCTAAATTTAGCTAATTAACAAATGTATTGCCTTACATAGTTATTAGTTTTGTTGAGAAGAGTTGACATCCACTCTCTTTGCATTTCATAATACAGTACGTTTATCACTTACTGTAATGACCCTATCATATAATTGATTTGTTGACTTATTCCTCTTATAAAACAATGATCGTTATATCCTTTGACCAATATTTTTCCATCTTTTCTTCCCTACTAGGGTCTGCAACCTGTAATAACCACCATCCTGTTCTTTACTTCTACAAGATCAACTTTTTTTTTTAATTCCACTTGTGAATGAGATCGTGAGGTATTTGTTTTTCTGCCTGGTTTATTTCACATAATGTATATCCTTCAGACTCATTCACATTTCTGCAGAGGACAGGGCTTCCTTCTTCTATGACCAAATAGTATTCCATCACGTATGGAACACATATTTTGCTTACCCAGTCACCAGTTCATGGATGTTTAGATTGACTCCATATCTTGGCTATTGTAGGTCAACACGAGAGCATAGATATCATTTCAACATACTGACGTCACCATCTTTAAATATCGGTAGTGTGACTGCTGTGTGATATTTTTTCTATGTTTAATAGAACCCCATATTGTTTTCCATCACGCCTGTCCTAATTTGCATTCCTCCCATAATGGCTATACTAGTCTGCATTCCCGCAAGTGTTCTCTTGTCTCCATAGCCACACCAACACCGATTATCTTCTTTTTCATCATAGCCATTCTAACAAAGCTGACGTGACATTGCATGGTGGTTTTCATTTGCATTTCCTTGATTAGTGATGTCGACAAATTTTCTACGTACCTGTTGTCCATTTGTGTGTCGCCCTTTGGGACATCTATTTAGGATGGTTGCTTATGTTTTTAATGAGGCTATTTGGGTTTGGGGATTTTAGTTTGTTGAGCTCTTCATCTATTTTAGATATTAACCCCTTATCATAAGGACAGTTTGCAAATATCTTCTCCTACTCGGTGGCCTGTGCATTTATCCTGCTGATTGCTTCCTTTGCCATATAAAAACATTTCAGTTTGATGGAGTCCCGGTTTTTATTGTTTTTGCTTTTGTTGCCTGTGTTTTTGTGAACATAGCCAAAAAATAAATCACTGCCCAGATCAATGTCATGGAGTATTTTCCATATGGTTTTTTCCAGTAGTGTCATAGTTTGGGGTCTTATATTGAACTTTCTAACCCATTTTGAGTTTACTTTTGTGTATGGTGAGAGCTAAGAATCTAGTTTTATTCTTCTGCATGTTACTCCAACACAATTTGTCAAAAATAATGTTTTTTCCCACAGGCCACTGTAGTTGGCTGCCAGTGATGCAGGCCAGAATTTCAATCTGTGTCTCAGGGTATCTAAGCCACTTTCCTTGCTGCTAGAACAAAACACTCAACACCCACAACTTAAAGGAAGAGAGATTTGTTTTGGCTCATAGTTCAGAAGTTTCAGTCCACGTCCAGCAGGCTAATACAGAAATAGGCCCCTGTGTCCTAAGAGCAAGTCAGGTGTATCAACCCTATAATTCAATTACCTTTCACAGCCCCTGCCTCTGAGTCTATGATGTGTTGTGGGATGTTCTTTGTTCAGATAATAACACAAGGGTTCTGACTCTTGTATGGCACAGGGGCAGATATAGAGGTTTGGTTGTGGGTGTCAGCCCGGAGTTAGGGGCTGGGCAGGGGGCAGGGGATCTGCACAGTGCTAGGTTTGACTGTAGTGGACCAATGTTTATTCATATGCTTAATTTACTCTCTTCCCCAGTGCAGAGAGCATCTCTGCCCTGTGCCACCCATAGTTGGGGGAAGGAGATGCAAACAAAGTAAGGCTGTCCAGTGTAGCCTCTTTGGTGCAATTTACAATGCCATAACCAGGCACTATAACTTCTCACCTGGTTTCTTTAGCTCTTCTGACAGCGATGGTGTGCAAAGATTCTTGTGCAAATTGGTGTTTCTGTGGGGATGATGATCCCAGGTCCTTTCCCACCATCTTGCTCTGCCTTCCTCACGATAAACATACTTCAGGCTTGAATAACAAACACCTTTTCTAACTCGGTTTAAGCCATGTTTTGTTTTGTTTTTTTCTTTTCTTCTTTTGGGAGTGGAGTAGTGGTTCATCTGTAACATATCCATTGGTCCATAATCGTCTTAGTAGCTTCAAAAGTTGTCCACTTGCAGCTTTTATTTTCAAATAGGATTCAGCAGCCCAGGCAAGGGTAATGAACACTGTGACAACTTCCTGCTAACTCAGCAAAGGCGACGGATTTTATTTCCAGTGTTCTCAATCATTCAGTGAGCACCCAGGATGCTTTCATTTCCACAGTCAGAAATAAGGAAAATAGAGCCATAGTGATAATTCACAGGATGCATTTCCCAGTAGGACATATTCAAGATTCTCCTATTATAATAAAATATTCTCCTTCACCTAATACTCCATCCTTTAGTCTTTTGAAGTCAGAGATTCCACTGTTAATATGTTGCATCTGATACTTAAATATTTTATGAATCATTAACCCCCAGGAAACCCTAAAAATAACTCCAATTATTTTCTAGCTCAAAATCCTCCTTCTGAGCCTAAGGAAGGAGCACTAAGCAAAACTGTTTTTAAGAGTGTTTCTAGGACTAGGGCTGGAGATGTGGTTCAGTGATAGAGCATATATCTATCATGCATGAGTCCCTGGGCCCAATTCTAATACTGCAAAATAAGTGTTTCTCTGTTGTCACCATCAAGAATGTATTAGATTGCTGTGTGGAGCTGTGCTGAGACATAACTGCAGCATTATAGCAAAGCCATAGGCACAACTGTCCTCAGAAGCTCAGGACAGTGCAAGAACACTGGCTCCTCTCTGGAAGATTTGGGTCTTCAGCTTAAGTGACAAACTCTCTAAGCCACATTTTCTTACCTATTTGCCTCCAGAGACTGAGGCAACAAGCTTCATGAGATAGTACAGGTGGACTTACTCTATAAAAGGTAAAACTTACATAAGCAAGCTTTTTTTTTTTATTGGCACATTTTAGGTATACAATACAGTTACATTCATCATTGGGATTTTGTACCTTTATGTGACTTATCTTGGTTCTTATTTTTTCCCCCATTCTTAAGTAAGTTTGTATACCCTTCTCATCCATATATATTCTCACGGAAGAGGAGAGAGAAATGCACAGAAGTAAAATCAAAGGGAAGTAGCAAAATGTTATAGGTATACCAATAAATCCATAGGCCTTCCTTTGACATCATCCCATAAGAAAGGTCCACTGTTAAACATTTTCTCAGGAAAGTTCTGATCCCTCACCAAAAACTCTTATCTTGAAGTAATATCCCAAAGATCATAATTAATTTATTTTGATCCCTAAATAAGCCATGCCATGCTCCCTATTTAATATCTCCAATGATGGGCAGACATTGGTTTGGTATATAATGACCAAGGTTTGCAAACCCATCAGAGGTCATTTTGACAAATTCAGCAGGTTTTATTGTCCTCCATCACCCAAATTACTTTTCTGTCACCCCAATAGTTTTAACGCTGGAAAGATCAGACTGATCCAGCCTAAGGATTTCTTGGTGACTGTCTCTAGTGCAATGTCACCATGTCCCTCTGGACACAGAGAACATCAGTTTAATCACATTCTTTACTAGGAGAAATGTGACCAGAAATTTAAATGTGAAGTTTATTTTCTCAGGAATGAGAGTGCAGTGAGAGACAGATAGGTTTTCTAAAGCAAGTTCATGGGCCTTGAAGACTGGCCTTACAAACAATCTATATTTTGACTTTTTCTTTTTTTTCTCCAAGGTGTGCTGGAGAGGAAAGCATGTGGGAGCAATAATAAAAATGAGTCATAAGGGGGTGGAGGACCCCTCACCAGGGGACTGGCATTTAGAGAGAAAAAGACTGTGAGGTGGTTACTGAAATTGCATTTCCCCTGCCAAGGTCTCCTTTTGGTGGAGTAGCAACGTGAAATAAAACACAACACAATGGCTGTGAACGATCATTGTAGGGATAAACAGGACAGGAGACAGACTCTCCTGAGTTATGTTTTTCCCATTGCAGATTAATAAGAGAGGCAATTATCTAATAAAAAATTACTATTAATTGATACCAGTTAAGTACTACTACTACTGTTAGTACTGTTAGCACTGTTAGTACTGAAGAGACTTATTTCATCTTGCACGGCTTGGAAATTTGACATATTTCCTGGCTTCCATCTCGTCCCCAATTACAAACCACTACAAATGGGACAGCAGCGAGAGCCACTTAATGTGTCACAACACCGTGCGAGGGAAGTGCTGGAAGCAGAGGCTTTTTACAGAGAGAAGGAAAACACTGCAGCAGGACAGTGATTACGGAATATTTTCTTTCTTCATCTTCTTTCTCCTTCCTTTTCCATAGAGACTTGTTTTGCTCTTTTGGGGGGGGTCCCCTCATTGTTATGGCCAGAGTGTGATTCCTAAAGGTTGTTCTCATTCGGGTTTATGGACCTGACTGACGGAATGGCTCTAAATAACATTTTGATCATGTAAGGTCACCCAGAGTGCTGTACCTTTCCTTTAATGAGTCAGGTCTGGACCAGGCATTTCCCAGAATTGAGATGGTAATGAAGTCATTAGTTTCTTCCTACTTGAAGCCCTGGCTAGAAAGCAGAATTCTATGGGCAAAGTCTGAGTGGGCTTTTTTCATAAATCTCACACCCAGCTGAGCTGTAACACCTGTTACATTTTCCCAGGAGCTTGAGCCATAAGGCCATTTCCAATCTATTTGCTCTTCTTCTTCCACGGGACACTGACAAAGGCAGGGGTCCCTGTTTTCTAAGACACTGCTAATTGAAAATCTCTGGCTGGTGCAAATGTGAACTCAAACCCACAAGAGTTCCAAATCAGGCCCCAATGATTATTTCCTCCTCTTTTTAAAAAATAGCCTTTATAATGCAGGTTATACAAGATTAATTTGTTCAAGGGAAAAAATAGTCATTGAACTGTTGCCCTCAATAAACTTTTACTTTCCATGCAGTTTTTCTGTTTTTAGAGAAAGAAAAGACGGGGGAGCGGGTAATAAAACCCAGAGTCCAGCTAATGCTACAAACTCCATGTTTGTGAGAATCGGAGGAAGGGGGGAGGGTGATACTCAAGTGTATTTGATTTGACCGCATGCATTTTAAATCCTCCCTCCTGTTTTACTAATTGTGAACACAAGAACTGGGAATAAAATTGCATCTGATGATTGAGCACATATAAAGTGGTGACAATTGTCAAATTTAAAGGAAATCCTCTTTTCAAAAGCTCAATAATTAAAAGGAAGAAATTCTCCTGTTGGACTCTTGAAAAGAAAAGTGCATTCAACTATAGAAAAGACGAGCATTTCTGACCCTCATAACTGTCTGTGGGAAAGAAAAGTCTGGAAACCAAGAGGAGGATTAGATGATCCAGCTATCAGGTCTCAGATGGCGCTTGACGGGAAAACAAATCAGAAATGAAGTTGATGTAAACAAATTCCCAGTTATTTATTCCTCTGGGAGTCTGAACACCTACAGGTTTGAATCTTGGAGTCAAAACTTTGAGACCTAGAAGTCACAACAGCCAATT